CACAAGACCCTGGAGATGCTGCAATATTCCAGCTGATTGGCACTTCTTCTGGGCTCAGCAGAAGCGCCAGGATCAGCGCCGAGCTCCAGCTGGAGCCTGGCGCTTCCGCTGAGCCCTGACAGTCCTGCAGCTCCAGCCGTCTCTCGCTCAGGCTTGTGCGGTGCTGCCACCGGTTCAGCTCATTCCCCTCCCCCGCTACCACTTTTCTAGGATGGTCGCGTACCACCTGCCAGGTGCCAATGTACCACAAGTGGTACCCGTACCACTGGTTGAAAAGCCTTGGTTTAGGGTATATATTTATAGGATTAGACAGACAAGAGAGCCAGTTTGTGCTTAAGGTACCAGGTTAGAAACTAGGAAACCCTGAATTCTAGTCCCACATTTGATATGGAGCCGGCTAGATGAACTTCAGCCAGTCATTCTTTGTCAGCCCTAGGAAGCAAGCAATGGTAAACCACTTCTGAAAAATCTTGCCAAGAAAACTGTAGGGACTTTCCAGGCAACCATCATAAATCAATAGCATTAAAGTTTTAAAGTATTAAAGGAGAACCACTTTGGTCTAGCAATTAAGGTACCAGACTTGAAACTGGGAGACTTTGAATTCTAGTCCCACCTTAGCCATGAAAGCCAGCTAGGTGACCTTGGGCCAGTCATTCTCTCTCTCAGCCCGACCCACCTCACAGGGTGGCTGTTGTGGGGAAAATAAGGAAAGGAATATGAAGGTGGCAAACGTATCCACCTTGGATAGGTTTACCATCTTCAGTTATTTGTAAAAATAATATACGTACATTCAGACACATACAAATGTATGATAAGGTAATTTCATCTGTATTTGTAAGTTGTGTATAACCAACGATGCCTACAGATTTCACTAGCAATAATCTAATTTGATTATAATACATTTATCATTTAAGCTGCGATGTTTGAATTTCAATTCCAGTGAAATGAATGAAATGAAACACCAAATTGAATTACTGTTAGCTAGTCCTCTATGCTAACAGGTGTTTCTTTCCACCTATTTTGTAAGCTACTGCAGTTTCTTCTGGTGGTACAATTACTGTTTTATGTGTATAATCTTTCATGCCCGTTGCAGCCTTAACCTACTGAATTATGTATTTTGAGCTCTCAGAATAGCCTTTCCTAACCTGAAACATTCCAGTTTGGCCAGAACTTCTTTCAAATATCAATGCCAGCCTGTTGGTTGAGAATTGTGTCAGGTTATATAGGCCAAGAACCACAAATACCCATGCTGAACAGATCTTGTTGAAAAGTTTGCACGTGGGAATAGTTATTTTTCTGTATTTGGTAGATAATAAATAAGCACTGTTTGCTAGATTCTCAGGCGCTTTGCTATGCCAGTTTATGAATAATTTTCTGGGTATGTCTCTACCTTTTTTCTTTTTGTTAGGATGCCCATTTCGCCACAGTGACCCAGAGCTGCTGAAGCAGAAGCTTCAGTCATATAAAATACCTCCTTCTGGAATCAGTCAGGTAGAGAATCTATTCTTCTGATATTTTGGTAACAAGGCATCAGAAATATCTTTTCAGTTTTATTTCACAATTATGGACAATGAATGCTACTGTCTCTTAAATCACAGCGTACAACTTGTTATGATGTTCTCGCCTACCTGAATAGATATGTGCATGCTTTTGAAAACACCCCTAGTGGGCTCTCTTGTGGTCTTCAAATACTTCCTTCCCTGTTAAAACTTGTAATATTGCAGACAAGAACCACAGAAGTAGCCATCAAGTAATATTGGTGATGCTTTTAACGTTCCCATTTAAATGGAAAGGTGGGATATAATTTAAGCTTTGTACGTGGGTATGTGTGTATACATGCTTACAGACATACATGCTTGCTAACTGCTATATTTTAAAAATAAATTCTTTTTTTTTTTAAATCCCAAAGATGCTTTTTTTCCCCCCACCAGGCAACTGGACTTCCTTGTTTTTCTTTGAAGACATTTCGCATCTCATCCAAGAAGGTTCTTCAGCTCTGACTGGATGGTGGGGAATGGAAAGATATATACTCCTTGCAGACAAGCTGATCATTTGCATTTTTTTAGCGAGTTGTTAATGCTACCTGGAGGCTTATCTGTGTCCTCCAGGTCACCTGAGTGGTGCAAATGTGTGTGGAGCCTTCTTGGAACTGTTGAAAGGACTGTATTGTAGACTGGAGATAGGTGATGTCATCTCCTTCCCTCTCTGTTGAGAGAAAGCTGTTCAATTTTGTTTAGACCAGCGGTCCTCTTTGTCCAAAATGTGAACTTTGCTGTCTTCAAAAGAATGGCCTTTGTCTTTTAAATGCAGATGGACTGCTGAATCTGGTCCTGATGGGTTTGTCTCCTATGTTGTGCCATATGTTTATGAAGTTGTTGTTTCATTTCCCCAATGTACAGATCTGCACATGGCTCACTGCATTGTAGTGCATATACCGTGTTGCTCAGTTTGTGTCTGGGTGGTTTATCTTTGAGGTAGACAAGCTTCTGCCTTAATACATTCTTGGGTTTGAAGTGTGCACGTATGTTGTGTTGGCTGAAGATTCTCCTGAGCTTTTCCAATATTCCTGCAACGTATGGAATGACTACGTTGCTTCGTTTATTGTTTTCTTCTTGGTCTATTATGGAGGAGTTCCTGCTAGGTCTTTTTTTTTGAGATTTGATGAAGGCCCACTTGGGATAGCCACATGTTCTGAGGGCTTCCTTGATGTGTTTTATTTCTTTTTCTTTTCCTTCTTTGCTGGTAGGCAGGCCTTCGGCTCTGTGGTGTAGGATTCACATTTTGGGCAGAGAGGACCACTGGTTTGAAAGAGCGATCAAAGAGGGCATCTATGTCAAAATTGAACAGCCCTCTCTCAACAGAAGGGGAGGGATATGGCATCATCTATCTCCAGTCTACAATACAGTCCTTTCAACAGTTCCAAGAAGGCTCCACACCCATTTGCACCACTCAGGTGACCTGGAGGATACAGATAAGCCTCCATGTAGCATTAATGACTTGCTAAAAGAATGCAAATGAACAACTGTCTGCAAGGAGTATAAATCTTTTCATTCCCCACCATCCAGTCAGAGCTAAAAAGCTTCTTAGATGAGAAGTGAAACGTCTTCAAAGAAAAACAAGAAAGTCCAGTTGTTTCATGAAAAAGAAAGCATCTTTGGGATAACGATGACCTGGATGACTGAGAATTTCCATAGACATTTTTTTTAAAGGGTTTCTGATTCTGAATTTGAAAGAAATTATCTACATTTTGAGTAACTATAGTGTGTTTTTTCAGAGTTCAAGTTTATCACAGTCTGGTGCTGGCACAAAATCTAGTCAGAAAACCTTTCATTTAGGATAATCATTGAGACATCTTGCCTTTCATTATATAACATATACCACCCATCTCACCTGGAGGCCACTCTAAGTGGCTTACAGTCAATAAAGGATCAATATAAAACATTAACACAATAAATAGTAACATTAAATTTGGTTTAAAATTGACAAAGATGGGGAGGAAGAAGGAAGGAACTGGGATCTAATTTTTGTCAATTAACCATCTCCAGAGTGACTTATCCCCTTTGGGACCCAAGGCCAGTTGGAAGAACCAGGTCTTCAGGCCTTTCAGAAGGCTAAGAGGGTGAGTGTGGATCTCACCAGAGGGTATGAGCCACAGCAGAAAAGGTTCTTCTGGAGCTTGCCAGCCAAAATTTCTTGAAAGATTGGGTCTGGAGCATGCCCCTTCTGCCAGTGCGGGTGGGATGGGTCAATCCCATTGAGGTGAGATGGTTCCTCAGATAACGTGAACCCATGCCGTAAAGGGCTTTAAAGGTAAAAACCAACATCTTCAATTTGATCCGGAAGCAAACTGGCAACCAGTGTAGCTTACATCATGTGTTGTGTATCTTATTTTTTTTTAAAAGTATTTTAAAATATCTTTTAAAAATATTATTAAAAATGTCATAAAACTTTTAATAAAAAAAAATATTAAGAGCAACTAAATGAAAATCAAAAAGCTGTGGACCCAGAAAATTTCCTTTTTATCAGAAAACATCCAAATGTTATGTTTCTTTCACCTTAAAAGAATCCCCCAGTTGCACAGAAATTAAATTGGGGCATGATCAGATGTTGCAATTCCATCCATATCTATCATCTATCTATCTATCTATCTATCTATCTATCTATCTATCTATCTATCTATCACCTTTATATAGCTCCCCATCTTATAACCAATTCTGGGTGGCTATATAATAAATATATATGTGAAGCAAAGGTGAAAAAATTTTCATATAAAGAAGAAAATATGTTTTTCAGGTACATTTGCTAGAACTAAACCAGCCTTGTACATATTCAGGGCTAAGTGAACTGAAGACTGATTTCTCACTGTAGATGAAAACCTACATCTAAAATTAAACCAAGAATTCCATTAAATTCCCTATCCATTATCACAAACTTTTATTCAGTGAAGCCAATGTCATCCCAGCACCCAAAACTAGTTTAGTTTTCTGAAATTGGGAGCAAAATGGCTCATTGTTTTAGATTTAAGTTTTATTCAAAAGTAAGCATGCAAAAGGGAGCAAAAAACTCAGGGAGGCCCCTAGCTCACATTTTTACCCTCTAAGTTCCAGGCTATTTTGAGGGGCTGATTTTGTTCTGTTCTGTATGTATGCTTCTGCGGTTTTCAAAGTGGGAATGAGGAAAAATTGGCTTCTATCCCCATGCAGTTTTGAAATGTCAAAATATAGCTAGTGGGCCATTTTTGATGGGAAATTTTGTTTCATGTTTGAAACAAGACACATTTTCCATTTCTTGCAATGCCCTACTATCAACATACGTTTGAAGTAAAAGTAGCCAGTTTTTCATTCCTTTAAATTCACCTATTATATGAGGCAAGACATTATATTTTCACATTCTTCATTGTGGGATGAATGAGAAAATGTAGTTTGTTTTGCATTACATCTGTCTTCTGCCTTCCCCCAGCATCTATAATACCTGTCAGCTTTTCCTCACAGTCAGACTTCAAAATCCTAGGAAAGAGTATGGGTTAAAAATGTTGAGTAGAAGTGCTCAGTGAACTTCCATAAATAAAATCCTTGAGAAGTCTGCAAAGCAGGGGCCTTGAGTTCAATTTTTCCCCCTAATGCAGGGGTCTTCAAACTTGGACCTTTTATGACTTGTGGACTTCAACTCCCAGAATTCCTCAGCCAGCATGCCTGGAAGTGGTCCTGTATTATGATGCTTCCCACTCCCAAACCCCTGAGCCAGCTCTGAAGGATACCATGATTGACGATATCAAAGGTTGCTAACAGAGCAACGAAGGCTAGAATGGACATATTACCCCATCCCAAACCTACCACAGTAATTGACAAGTGTGACCATTGCTGTCTCAGTGCTGTAATCAGATCTAACTCCTAACTTAAAGAGGTTCAGATCATTTCCAGGACCCTCTGGAGCTACAAACCAACCACCTTCTCAACAATTGTCTTCCCTAAAAAGAGAAGACCGGTTGAAAACTGTCCATTTCTGTTGGGTCCATTGATTGTCCCTTGAGGAGAAAGCAGATGGTCACCATTTTTAGAGCAGGTGACATCACACCCCCTGCGAATAGGCATTAATAGGCAAATGGACTCAGTTAATGTGATGCATCAGTAATTCTTAACCAACCAGGAGGGTCAAGGATCTAGAATATACGCAGCTGAATTCATAAGTCCTAGGACAATGTGCACTTCATCAGGACCATCAAGTTCAAACTGTGCCCAGAAACCAGCCAAGGCCACGGGCCTGTGCAACAATTCTGTGTAAATCTGCACAGCTTTATGTAATGTATTGTTTCTTACAAAATAAATACTACTAAAGTTGAAAGGCTGTCTAAATAAACATGATTTCATAAATGCAGCTAGTCCTGGGGACCCAGGTTGCCATTATTAAGCAATGTGGTTGTAAAGCATGATGGCACATGACTGCATTGTTTAGTAATTCTTGGTAGCTCCAGTTATTGTTGTAACCCCAAAATGTGCAGGCTGTTACGGGGGAAAGCGTTGGGAACCCAGATAAGGAGCACAGGGTGGTGTAGGGGTGGGAGAGGCTGAGGAAGGGTTTTGGAGGACTGATGTGAGCCATGCATCACTTGGAAGCTGGGAAGGGTCAATGCTGGCCATACATGAATTGTAGGAGACTGAAGGAGAGCCTTGGAAGGCCATTGCTGGCCACATGTGTCATAGGCTACATGCAGGCGGGGGTACTATAGGTGGGAGAAAAAGTGGGAGTGATTTGCTCTAACCACTTGCAACCTTCCCTGCCAGCTTTCCCATTGACTTGGGGAAGCCAGCAGGGAAGGTTGCAAATGATAGTCATGTGACTGTGACTCCCTACAACTTTTAACAGTGAACTGGACATTGAATCGTTATCACATGACTGCAGGGGTGCTGTGATGGCTGGAATTTTGCTGACGGGTTGTATGTCCATTTTTTCAGCACTACCATAACTATGAATGGTCATTGAACAAATGGCTATAAGTTAAGGACCGCCTGGATGATGTTAAATAATTCCATTTACAAAGTTAATTTCTATTGTCTTATTTTGATCACATCAATTGCAGCTCTTACATGGTGAAGATTGAGAGAATGTACTAGATTGTTATTTTTTATTAATAGTTGAACAAATGTTGCTTCTTTTCTATAGTTTCTTATGATAATAGGCAAGAAAAGTTCTAAACTTTTGTGCCATTTCCTCTAATTATCTTCAGTATGTGAAAGTAGAAATGCATTGTTTTTGTTTGGTTTCTTTCCAACTGAAAAATTAGGATTTTTAAAAATAAAGTGAAATCCCTCAATGATATAAATAGAGGTATTCCTATTATTTTCACTGTTGGATGTTAAAAATAAAATCCCTAGAGAAAGCAGATGGCAGATTTGGCTAGGCAAAGAAATGAATGTCTTTGTAAAACCCTTAAAGAACAAGCTGAGTTACACTGGGGTAGTGAGAAACTGACCTGGAACTACAAAAATGTCTCTAAATATGTTACAGTTGCTGCACTTCAATCACATTTTAAGTCACCTTTCAAATAAAAATGAAGGTTAGAAGTAGATAAAATGCAGCAAGCCTTTATTGAAATATTGAGACTTTAGGAATAAAAGTAACTATTTTATTTGAAAAATGCTTCATACTGACCTTGAGTAAATGAAGAGATCAAGGATTGTAAAGCTAAAGGAAGTTAACCATGCTAAGCTTATACGTAGCAGAATAGCCCATCATCTGATTTCATTGATAGGCTCCAGAGAAGACTGGGCAATAAACTGTAACAAGCTTTCCTGCCTTATACACCACCTTCACACCCATTGCCTGGCCAAAGCAGTCCTTCAGGTCAGAGCATTTTCAGAAACAGATAGTAATGGGCTTTTGCAAGTGCAAGTGTGTGTAATATTTTTTGGGTCAAAATCAATACATCTGTGTTCTTACGAAATGCCACATGAATGTATCCATACATGCAGACAGTGTCAATATACATTGTCCTATGCCTGGTTAATTTTTTTCTTTTTTTCCTCCTCTTGTAGATTGGAGAGAAAGGGATTACAAGAGAGTAAGCAGGCACACATTGGAGAACACACCAGCAGCTTGCACTTCACACTCAGGGTTGCTGGCTCCAGCATGTTACTTTTGATTCCCCTTTGTATGCTTGCTTACTCTCTTGTAATCCTTTCCTCTCCAAATACAATACAAATGCAAACAGTAATTCCCTTACTAATTATCCCAGTGCCAGGATAAGTATTCCAAAGTACAGGGGAGTGGGGGGGGGGAAAGAAAAACTAAAGTAAAATCATAAGCACTGTTGCCTCAAATGATTTTCCACCTAGCAATTGCTTTGCTTAACAACTGAGCTGCCTGTTCCAGTTGTGGTCACTAAACAAGGATTTCCTGTATTTTTTCTCACCTTTTGACAAAACCTGTTTTATATTGCTGTTAAAGATATAGAGTTCTTGGCTTCAGCTGCTGATTATATTTCTTTCAGAGGCCAAGGCAATATGGAGATTAAAGTAAAATTGGTCTGCAAAGTTTTTAACTTAGCTATCAGGTGGAAACTATGTTTGCCCTCAGAGATGCAGCAGCTTTATATGACAGTGGCTGCACACAGTGATTGAATAAAAGTGTGATCCAGAAAGTGCTCCTTGGAATATTGTTTTCACAGGTCATTTGCCAAATCTTTCACTTGATTGCAGGATTAGTTCATTTAACTCTACAGCATAAATACCTGCACACTTTATAGGATTCCCAGGTTCATTGCTGCAATTTTAACAAAATGGGACCTTTTAAAGCAGAAGTAGTCACAATTTTCTATATGGACTTTAGCGGGATTTTAGAGATCACAACATGAAACCATGTTTGTGTGAAAAAATAAATAAGCATCATGGGTATTGGAATGAATCCCAGGCTACACCATAAGCACCATACCAGATTTATGGTTGATGAGATAACTCTAAATCCTGCTAAAGTACACATAGAAAAATATGAATATTTGTCCTTTAAAGCAGAGGACCCCAATCTTTTGGGCACCAGGGACTGGTTCTCTGGAGAAAGATTTTTCCACGGACCAGAGGGGGCGTAGTTTCGCGTGCTGCCTGCATCCAGCGGATGGGGCTTCACTTGTTCGTGTGGCCCAGTTGATGGTCCCCGGCCTGGGGTTGGGGACCCCTGCTTTAAAGGATCTGGAATGATCATTTCTAGAAAACAAAGTACCATCAGAATTGGCACACTCTAGAAGAAAATAAGACAACATGCACATTCCAGGAGAAAAATCAAGTGTTCTAGGAAACATCAGAACATTCCGTTATTAGGCTGTGAAGTTCTGCATACCCTGGGTCCTGTGATTCAAATATAACTGCCCGTAGGCCACTCAGAACGTTGCCAGTATACTGTCCATCTTTTACTATAAGCCAAGGAAGTTTTCTATATATGATACAATATTATAAAATCATCTTGGTTGGTTATCATTGCAATCTAGTTTGAGGCTCTGTTTGCAATATGCATAACTAGTTTTTCAAACCCGCAACCTGCTTCAGTTCAAAAACAAAGAGACTGTACCAAGCTTCAGATTCTTTTGGCTGGTTGACTTGTTTTTCACATTGTACTTAACAGGAGGTGACAGCAAAGGCAGATATTTAATCAGTTTGGCTTGTAACAGCAAACCAGACCCAGTAAGCACTTCTTTGGCAGCAGTGTGGTTTGATATATTCAGCAAATATTATTTGTACGTCTGTCAATAACTATAAGGCAGTCTCCATAATGAGGACAGCAGGGATTTGTGCTGGAGTTTATTGCCACTCTTGACTTTAAAAGGTCAGCCTCTCAGAAAAAGGGTTAGAAATTTGCATTCCTCAGAAATGTTCTTTCTACTGAAGCTATCTCTCAGTTACAGCAGTTTTCTATGGCTGATAAGCAGCACGTAGAAAGAATAATTATAGATCAGCAGAGGGAAAAAAATGACATGCAACTTAAATTTTAAAACACCATTGCCTTCTGCTGATAAGAATGAGTGCTTTTGCTGGACAGAAGCGATTACAAGGTAGAATTGGAAAGCAAATTGTATTTACAAGAGATAGAAAAATGTTTCTAGTAGGAGTTCAAAACAGACAATTTCCTTTCTTGTTCGGGGAACTGCTGCTTCGAAACAACTTACTTTGAGGTTTTCAAAAGGTGAAACACGTGGTTTTCCGCTACTTCTTTTCTAAATTACTACAGTTTCTTAGTTGGTATCACAGTCCCATTGTTTTACCCATGCATGAACAAGCTATGGGTGAGGAGTGTTCACATATGTTGAGTAATATATGTTTCAGTTTCTCAAATGCAAAAACATGCATTTGCAACTAATAAAAATGTTTTTGAAATATATATCCTGGAAATAATTATTCTAGATATAATAGCCACAATTTTTCTAAATTTTGATTTGAGTTTGAGACTTTTTTAGAAGCATAGAAGCACATATGTCAATTCTGTCATGCTTTCTAAATATGTGTTCTCTTTACAGACTGGAATTGGGGTAAATGTGTTTGTGTGTATTAATTGGTTCAATTTCTTTTTTTAGATTTTGGACTTGGTGAAAGGTATGCATTATCAGCTGGCCTGCCAAAAATACTTTGAACTGACTCATGATGTAAGTATATACTTCAATGTTGTGTTTGGAAATCACATCAATGCCTCTAGAAAAACTAGGAAAGTAGTCTGTTCATAGGCATTATTATTATTATTGTTATTATTGTTATTATTGTTATGGATCATCGCACAGTCAGCCAGATGTTCAGACTGGATTTGGCATTTTGTCTA